TTACGATACATTTTAAAGGTGAGTGCGCACCAGCGGAAGATGAATAAAACATGTTATGTGCCTAGGGCAGTCCATTAGCGGCGTAACTCAATGCCTTACTAGTCAGGTCAATTTCGCCCTATTTCGGAATCCCTACGTTACGTAGTGTAGGAAAAAATCTATTTCGGTATTGGCAAATTAATTGACCCAGTTACGTGACGGCTTTCATCGTTAACGTTATTTTCCTTACGTAAATCAAGCTGAGCTTACGTTTTCCACATACGTTTTAACCGTTTCTGCACGTTTCTATCGGTATTAAGAAATCGTTGTCAATAGTTTGTTTTCACAACCCTAACTGTCTATTTTTAGAGACAGTAGGTTATGTGTTTTATATTCCTTTTTTATTTATTTATTTTTTTAAACTTCATGTACAATGGGTACATAGGCGGACCTAATGCCTAAGGCATTTTCTAACAGTCGAACCTTGGGTGATGCAGAGATGAGGCAATGGGCGATGCAAGAAGCAAGCAAACGGCTTTATTTTAAATCGGATATGACACATGTTTTTTATATTAAATGAATCTATCATAACCTATGAACAGATCATTACTGTTATATAAAACATAGACCTATTTTTCTGGCTTTAATTTGAATTTGTCTTTTCGTTTTCGTTCGTTGTCGTAAAGTAGTAGTTGTAGTAGTAAACTTACCTAATTGTGTGACTCACTTAATTCGGAGATTCCACGTTTGGACTCTTTCACAGCGTTATAAGAGTAAAATCCAATACATTAAAATTAACCCTATGGAATGGTAATAAATCTTCTTTTCGTGTACAAAATTTTGTTAAGATCGTGCGAGTGATATAGTAACAATCACGGAATTTGTCATTGCGCCCGCCATGTTTGACGTTTCACCGGTAGCGTGCGACTGTGCTGTCATTATTTAATTAATTTTAAATAGAAAAGGTGAGTGTAAGTTCATGATACTTTGGCAATTAGTTGTTAAAAGCATATACTTGTTGATACCGATAAAGGTTTTAGTAATTTTTTATTCGTTTTTTCATAATACCTTATTTCCTGGGTTCAAAAAGTTAACGATTCTCAAGATTGCAACTCAAAACAGTGTCACCGAATTAACCAAGCAAACTTTTATTATTTTCAAATTCGTGTATTAATAATGGTTTTCAGTACGTGTACGTTAGTAGTTTAAGTCAGAAAATATTTATTTTTACTCAGGTAAAAAAGTAGGATCGCTTTCAACCATTTTAAAAAAGTCCGTTATTTTTTTTATCACATAATTGAGTTGGTTTTTATTTACTATGCTATACTCACAAGATGTAAAGTTACAAAATGGGGCCGACTGGATAACATGCTCGTTCTGTACTAATCCTAATCATACCCATTGCCAAAGTCAAATATAAATGACAACCGAGAAATTTTTATGTGTGATGGTTGTAGTTTTGACGAGTCCAGTGGTGAAGAGTAAAAAACAATTATAAAGTCCAATATTGTTTTTTATTTTTCTCCACTTCTGATAGTTTCTCGTTGATTAATAAATACATAATTATTACTTTCAAAATGTTTATATTTTTTATTAATTTTTTATTTTTCTTGTATGTTAAAAAATAATAAATACTCTCTTAATTCGGTTATAACAGAATTAGAGAAGTACTATCACCGAATTATGGTGTTTGTCACAGAATTAGACAAGTCATCGCGGTTTGATTAAGCTCATTTTACGCTGAGTTAATTCATATATATTAAGATTACACTTGTTCATATGATAAATAGAAGACTGATTAATGTTCCTATTAAAAATAACAATAAAATTTATAAAGTTTAACCTGTTTTTTTTTCCACATTCTGTTTTGTCACAGAATTAGAGGAGTTGCCTAAGAACTAGGAATTATTTGTTATGACGAAGAAACTCTTTTGGTAATTGGTGAAATAAGATAAAGCTATAACTCTTATCTTACCAACATTAACAATTTACTTTGTAAATGAAATAAAATATTGTCTGCTTCATTCCCTTACTTTGTTGACTAATTACGCCGTTAAATATGACTGCTCATAATATCTTCAAATATAACAAACAGTTCATAGCTTCTTAAAATTTCTGCTTAGACGAGGAAGCTCTTCTTAACCTTCTGACATGCATCCCTTAAATAGAAATACTCTTAGTTCGAGTATGTTGTAATAAAGACGTCGCCACACACCAAGATTCGTGTGTCGTGGGAGTGTTTTTAGAACACTCGATTAGAATCAGAAAAATAATAAATATTGTAACGCGAGGTCCTGCGGTTTGTTAGTTCCGTCAGCACCCAATCGCTCGAACATACGCAAGACGTTCAAGAGACTTGCGATGTATGTTTAGGCGTCACAAAAGCCTTCTATGACTTTTTTTGAATAATGACTATCGTGAGACAGTTTATTGAAAATATCGACTTACCCACATGAACAAACTGAATAAGCTATACTACTTTCAAGTCACAATGGGACTCATTTATGAGTTGCGTGCGAGTCGTAGTAGCAGCAAATTGGCCTTTATGTCACAAGTGGGTAAAGAAATTTATTTGAATGCTTACAGTTTTGCTTTAATTGCTGTCATTTAAAAATTAAATTGAGCATAATGTTTAAGAGAAAATATATGTAATTATCCCACGAAACATTAACACAATCGTAGCCCAATATTTGACTTCCACGTTTTCCATGGGGAAATTTGTGTACCAACATTTGCAAGTTTACAATTATCAAATTGTTTATTGAAAATAACGACTTATTCACATGAATTAACTGAGAAAAGCTCAACAAGTTTGAAATCGACCGGACCCTTATTCATGAGCAGCGTGCGCCTCGCGCATTTAAATGAATAATATCAAATTATTTTAGATCTATGTGTTTCGAGATTTTCAACAAGCTTTATCATTAGTGTGAAAGGTAAATAAAACGATGTCATAAAGTGTAATATTTTATAATTTATTTTTAATTATATCTTTGGTAAGTACAATGGCTTAAGGGTGTGGCCCCTGGAGTTGGTTCTTTGGTACCTACATCTTGGTGTTCCATTCGTTCTCACACATTATACAAAAGAGTATTTAAACATAATCACTTCTTCGATACAATTTGTTTTATCTGTGACAATATTATTGCAAAAAAAGTTTATGTCATTTTCAGAAACTTGGCATGTTTTATTATAATAATATATTAAACCTTTAAGAGTTTGTCAAAACTGTGTGTCTTAAAGAATTCAACAAGTAAAGTCATTTGTAGTTGCTGTATTTCTTTTCTAACACATAGTTGGCTGTAGGCATGATAAATTAATTACAGATTCAATAACATTGTCACAAAACAACACAATACTAATTACAATAAATAATAATCATAATAAGTCTATTTGAATTCACTCTTATTCATTTTTATTTAAGGTGTACACAAAAAAGCTAAATTATATTGATAACGAAAGAGTTTAGCTTAGATTTAAATTAAATTTGGAATTTACAATTCTTAAGTATATTGTGTCATAAACACAATATTTTGTGATCTATGGTTGATTGAAATGATAATAAAGTTACATAAAAGTCATTATTATTTCACATCAATTTGCAAATATAGTAGTCTGCAATTGTGAAAAAAATAACGCAGTTATCTGACGCCGAAACATTCTAGACTTTGAAAGAAATTTGAATTCGCAGAATTCCAATAATTGCTTTAATTAATGTAACTTAAAACGAAGGGTTTGTTAAAGGATCGTCTGAAGCACTAAAGAAATCTTAGTGTGACAGATGTCGTACAAAGACAGTAGTCAACTATTTGATATCGCTGAGGAATTCTAGAACATTCCACAATGTTCTTTGAGTACAAAGAGTTGATATTTTCCATATTGATTCATATAATTTATTACAAAGGTATATTGGAAATTACAACAAAATTTATTCTATCAGACCCATATCAAACTTTGCAACTTATTCATCCTACATTCGTTCGCTACCAAAGATTATAATGTAAACAAAACACGTCGCTGAACTTTTACACTGAAAATCAGCTCAATCGATTTCCAGCTTCTTTCAAAGAAAACAGTTGAAAAAACGTTTATTCTAAATCCTATCTTATTACATAAATACAGTACAAATCGTCTATTGACTAAATAAACTTTCCTATTTACAATTAGGTATAACATCTTTGGGTAATCTTCGGTTAAGACTTATGTGTTATAATTATTTCACATAATCTATCATACAAAACATTTAATTCTAAACTCTAGTAACATTTTAATATTTCGTCAAAAACCGACAATCATTTGGAATGGTCGTCTTTATATTTCTTGTTGAATCAAAGCGATGTTTACAATAGTTTACAATCTATATTAATTTTATCACTTAATTAAGAATGAGTTCGAAGCAAAAGGCTGCCATTTTTAAGAGAATGTATTCTCAAAATTTTAAAATAACACATTTCTGTATATAATCTAGGAATTAATTAGAATAATATTCTTACGAGAAATTTGCTTCCAATTCTGTTATATTCAATTTCAATCGAATGAAACAGCACCGTCTTCGATTCAATATTAATCGTTATCGAAACTTTATTTATCTATGTCTTTGACATCCTCCTTATTAACATACATTAATATCACACGTTGATATTGTACACTAGTACGAAACACCTTTTACTGTCCATTTTATGATAATGATATTATAATATCGATCAATATTATTTGTACCTGGGGCTCAAGCGCAAAATGTACCGCAGCATAAAGCAGGAAGAAATGAGGTGGTTTTTAGTCAGCAAGATTCTAATACTCGCCCCAGCCATGGCAGGGTAAGTAATAAGTCGACTTCCCGTCTTAAAAAATATAGGTATACCTAAGTATATTCTGACTCATTTAGGTAATAAAGTATTGTAATTGAAACATTAAATCAAATATCATAAAATAAACAGCACACAGGTGACTATTATTCGCTTCGGCAAACAAACCGTTCATACGTCAACCGCAGATTAAGGAAGTAGTGTACCATCAGACCCTCATTCGTATAACCCATTTTCAACTCTATTCCTATGGATTAGAGTTGCAAAATAAAGGGTATATTTTCTATGATCATTACGTAGAATTTTGACCGCGATTACTGTACGAACACGTCATTATGGTCGAGGCAAACAATCGTCAACTTTAATTAAGAGGTTTCCGATTTTTTTATTAATTACACCCAAAGACTCTTTTTATTTTGTTTTCTTTGTATAACAATGACTATGTTTATCGTAATTTCTTAGACATTATTCTTAATGGTATAATCGTATTTCATTATTTAAGTTGTATTATCGTAGATTTATATAAACTATTAATTGGTAAATGGAGGTAACAAGCTTCAGTTCATTTTACAATTTATTTGGTATACGTTTCAATAACCATTTTGATTGATTTAATTTATTAATATTAAATACTGTTGAATAATTTATAATTCAATTACCAACGTTTATTTTTTTGGGATTAAAACATGACATTTTTTGTCCATGCATCATTGTGTTTTTTTTCGTTCTAAGTTCTTATAATGTTTTTGATCTAATAGTATACATACGAAATATCTCAGTAATTTGATTGCTTTCTAACAATATCTTAGGTAAAGTTCTTCGCTACAAATTATTGCTAAAGCTTAGATAATAAATATTTACATTTATAGGACAAATAGAATCAACTCGCATTGACTTAGACAGCTGATAGTTATTCATATGGCATCGCAAATGGATTCCAATCGGAATGTAGTAATTACGGCTCTTAGAATACTATTTCCAATAAATTTTATTAGAGAGATACCCAAATATCACAATTAAGAAGGTACGAGTAATCTGCTAATCCAATTTTTATCTCCAATCTAAAACGTTCGATTAAGGACTTTATCACTGCCAAACAGCATTGAATTTCGTTTATATCGCCCTTAGATATAACACTATTGAGTATTTACACAAATAAAAAAGGAAAAAGTCTCATCGTTTGCATTTAAATACACTTTTGTACGCTTGTCTGTATTCATTGGACATGACAACATAAATGACAGGATTCGCGCATGTTGTGAAATATATGAGTACATACCCGAACACGTTTGCTACTGAGTGCGTCGTCGTCTCAAAGAATATTGTCTTCATAAGGGTGATAGGCAAGTGACAGACGCAAAAAGAGACCATGATAGCTACTATCATAGTCAGCAACTTCTTGTCTTTCTTCGTCGGAAGACGCGGCTTCGGAGGGATCGTGGTCCATCTCATAGTAGCTATGAAGCTTCGACGGAAGTTCTTATTATCATGCCCAAATCGTGGTGTATTGTCCTGGGGACTGACTGATTGTCTCTCTGTGTCCGATGGTGTGGAGCTATCACTCGATATTTCGGCCGCGGTGTGTATGAAGCAGTTCATGGGAAACGTGGGTACCGTGTACCTGGGTAGGCGTTTGTCCAAATCAATAGATCTTGTAGCTATAGTCGTGGTACTCATGCTCAAAGCTTTCATCTTCGTGGGAGGGTTCCGTGACTTCTTCGCGGTTTTTCTGACAATCCACAGTATTCTGGCATAACATAAAATGATTGCCAGACTCGGGAGGATGAAGGCTATAATGAAGAGAAACTTCTTTGGTGAATGATGGTTGTCATCTGGGACGATGGTGCAAGAACCAGTAATGGGATCCAAGCTGAATTCGCCCCAAATTTCGAAACACGTTGGTAGCAGTGCACTGAACGAGAATATCCAAATGCCTGCCGTTATCAAGCAGATATTTCTGGTTGTGTATAATCTGTTGACAAAAGAGACTTCTCATTAGACATTGATATCAAGTTCAAAGAAATTATCGTAAATGATAACACAATTTTAAAATTATATTTCGTTTTTAAGCTTCGAAACATTTAAAGATAGATACAGATTCTAATTTTTGTGAATCATATTTTCACTATACTCACTTGGGATAGAGCCGGGGATGAGAAATCATCACGTATCTGTTGATTGTGATGGCCAGAACGGTGAATAGTGAGACTGCCACCAATGCGTATCTGGCGAACGGAAACATGTAGCAGAGGACCTTGCCATGTGCCCAGGATCTGTTGTAGAACGTGGAAGCAGCCAACGGCAGGATAAAGCAGCTGAACAGCAGGTCGGAGCAGGACAAGTTAATGATGAAGAAGGCAGTTGCATTGCGGACCTGTAAGTGATTGAGTATATTTCATTATTGAAGCATAGTATATCAGAAATTCAAGGCCTTGAATGTGTTGGGTTTTGGCAAGCCGTGATTGAATTTTTTGGGCACATAAATGTTCAAAGTTCAATGTATCGGATAATATTGAGTTATTCAGTAATTTAAAAATCATTCATTATTGCTTTATAGTTTCCTTATTCGGTTATGGCTGGCCTTATATTCAAGTTTATACTGTCGATGAAAATTTCAAGAGTTTAAGAGCAAGATTGAATTCATGTATTACTGATTTTCACATTTAATGATGAGTCTTTTTAAATTATAAACATTTTATAAGGTATGTCTAAACTGAAATGGTACATATTATTAATTGATAGGTAAAGTATTTCACGTAAACATACCTACGTAGTGTTTGTAAGCGGAATAACAATGTGACGTCAATGTTTAGTTAATTCGTTTTTGTTGTTAATACTTTACTCGTACATGATGAATCGTCCATTACGGTGCCTACGCGGTTATGTGGTTAGGGTATATTCAATGAGTTAAAAAGTACCTAATTCCATTAAAACAATTAACGTAGATTTAGAATTACTAGGTTCTAAGGTCAAAACCGAAACATGAATTTATATTTAATTCATTTTACTAGTACCTATAACAACTATTTGCAACCCGACTGCACGGTTGGCGCGATGGCTGGGCAACTGAACGCACCAGGAGACAATCCTAGTATAGAGCAAATATTTTTTTAATTCTTCGGGAATTATCAGTTTGTTAATGAGAGTAAAACCTTTTTTTAGAACTACAAAGCAAACGTAGGTAAGCTATAAATGACCAATATAAAATGAGCATTGAATGTAAGGAAAGATCACAGAGAGCGAGTCCATGATAAACTGGATTTTTTGTAGATTGGTCTGTTGGCGTGTGTTTATTACATATATACAAGTTGTTTTCCTCTGCAAATAAAATGTGAGGTAAATAACATTGTTATGTACGTATTGGTGAATACCCAATGAAATGTATCATTGTATTATTTCCTATTTAATTCTTATTAAACGTTTTACTGAGTTTCTTTTGCTTTGCTTTGCTTACATGTTGTTAAATTTAAACCTAATCTTATATTATTGTTTATAAGTTTCAATAAAACTCTAAAACTTAATAATCTTAGATTGTCTTATATAATTTTGATCTCGAAATATTCATGAAATTAACCAGGTAAAGTTGAAATGGTGAGATAAAATTTGAAAAAATTAAGTTTAAAATAAAAACGATAATTTAATTTTTTGATACAAACTGCTCTTTATTAAATTGACTACACACGCAGCTACTTGCGTAGGCAGTGCGTTAACCACGGAGTTTAAAAAAGTATTTTATCAACATGTTAGATACTGTTTTTTTTATTTACTGAACAAAATGAAAAAGAAAATAGTAAAACATACTAAACAAAAATATTAGGAAACCTACCGTGTTCAGATAAGTCGTTTATTAAAGCAATTATGTGTTGTTTTCGTACGTAGCCTTCTTAATAATATTACACAATATCGATGACATCTTTTTTATTTTAGATCCCGCTTTTTTTTTAATTTAATCGCCTTGTCAATTGTGCATATTGGTGTTATTTTGTTGATAAGAGTCTGGCTTGATGATACTGATAATACTATTATGTAGGTATTTTCTTTTTTAAACCAACTAAGTAAAACAATTCTGAATAAACAACATGTTATTATAGTTCAGGTAAAGATTCATAAATCCTCCACTGAATCAGTCGGGTTAAATCAGAGTTTTCCTGTAAACCTATTTCTTTAATCTGAAACCTATTGGTTACAAACGTGCTTGGAAACACTAAGTGGGAAGTCCATTTACCGTCAAAACTGGGATTAAAATTTATATTTCACTTAATTTATTTCGATTATTGCTCTTTTACCTACACAGCAAGGAAAACAATACTTTTTTTTACATTTGTTTTTCAGTGCCTGCCTACAAACTTTAACGTTTTTTGAGTTAATAAGAATAACCATGCTTGAACTTATTTTTGCTCGTTCTTCTCCATCTGAATCTAACACTTTGGAACCAGCAAATACATGGCTTTAATAAAAAGACTGAGCAACAGACTGACACCTTTTATCTTTAAGCTTTGTTTGACGTTCAAGTGTCTATAAGGGTCTAATTGAAATAAATGATTTTGTTTTTTTTTTGACCAAACTATTAATTGGCTTACTTAAATGAATAGGAAGAAGATAGCGTATAAGTTAAAAAATGAACTAATTTACTTTTTTATGAAATATCTCAAAATATTTCGATTCTAAGAATTTCTAATGACGATGGTTTTAATAATATGACGTCACTCTGTGTCGCGGTTAAACGACCTAGTTTGGGATGGATGAAATATAGGCAAGTCAATTCTCTTCTCTATTGTTAACGAGAAGTTTGGACAACATATGTACATAGTTAACAAACACATTTATAATTGCCACACATATAATGACATGTCTCTAGATAAGATAGATCTTTAAATATGCAAATCACTAACATAACATTGTTAATATAATTTGTATCTTATAAGAGTGTGCTAAGAAAGGAATTCCCGTGGGAATGGAATTTCCTGTGTACTGTTAATATTAAATTAATTACAAACTCGAGCGTCACGTCATCATCTAGTTCTACGTTGTTCCTTACAGAAACCACATAACTATGTATGTCTTTAGAATTTCTTAAATGCTTCTAAATTACTTAAAGAAGATGTAAGTACTGACCTTCTTGCACCTAGCCAGTGCAATGATAGTGATGAGGTTCCCAGGAATTCCGATGAGCATGAACAACATGCAGCTGATGTAAGCGAAGCGCAGCAAAGGCTGGTCGTAGCCCTCGAACAATTCCACAGCTGCCAGCGCTGCATCAGACTCGTACGAATGCAGTCCAGGTATTCCACTAGCATTCTCAACACCCCACATTGAAGATTCACCCATTTCAAACAACACAACTCAAAACACGTCACTCAATAGCAAACATTTAAATACAAATGAATACGAAGACTCAATATTTAGCCTTTTGTTTATTTTATTTTCCTTAATGAGTCAATTTAACTGTCATGGGTACGCCCGAGATTGATAGTGGTCCAGAGGTTTGCTATAACACGACACGTCTTCACTACGTTAATATTGCTTCCCAACTTAGTTCACTTTCATTAACTTATTGCTAAGTTCCGAACATAATACTTCACAATGTACAGTTAAACATTAACAATGACTCATTCGTATCATTTTGATGATAAAAATGTAATTCACCAAATACACTGAATGAGATGATTAATACGATAGTAGGATGTTTCATTAGGACATCCGAATTATCGCTTTAAGTATCACTATACGAGATTACTAAGTAATTTAAATATCAAATACAATATCATCGTAGTATCTACTTCAGTATAAAACATTCTAATTGCTTCCTTTCCCACCCCTAAGCACAATCACGGACGGTTCGCGATTACAAAATTGTCTACGTAACTGAACGTCCTCTACGTATACACAAATAAGTTAACGCTGTCACTACACTACACCAGTTTATGGTCACTTATCTTTTACACACATGTACTTGAGTGTCCATTATTTGCAGTTATTCAGGCTGTCCAGCGATTTACGACTAGTCACGGCGGGCGCTTCTCGGAGGCGCCATCGCCGGGCGAACGTCACGCCCAGCGACGACACATTAGCAGGTTCTTGTACGCCTGCCGGTACTCGGACGACATCACCACGTAAATTATAGGGTTGATACACGTCGTCAGGTATATCAGTATGTATCCCGCTATATTTGCCGCTGGATGCGACGTGAACTCTCGAAATATCTTCGTTAATGTTATGGGCAAGTAGCATACCCAAAACGACAACATTATTGCCATTATCATCTTTAGTAACTTTCTGTCTTTTGGCGTGAGTCGAGGTGGTCTTACAGAAGCTGGTGATCGTCTTAATGCGACTGCAGCTTGTCTAAGACGTTTAGCAGTTTCACCACCACTCGGTGTTCTAGGTTTAGCATCCAATGCGCACTCCTCATCGTGGCCATCTAATGTATCAACACCAGACGAGGAGGAACGCTCAGGGCCAGGAGTCGGAGGACAGTGAAGTGCTGGTGGTGCTAGAAGGGCCCTTCTCGGTGGAGCTACGTGATTGATTCCATTTTCAGGGCCAGGTGATCGTTCCAATGCTGTGGAAGCTGAACCAACTGCAGAGTCTTCTAACCCTGGCCTTGATCGCCCTCGAGCCGGGGCTCGTGACTTTCTTGCTGCTTCTCTAACAATGCAAAATATCCTAGCGTAACATATCACAATGGCCAGACAGGGCAGCATGAAGGCACCCACAAAGAGAAACTCTTTTGGAGAGCGATTGTTTTTGTCGGGAAGTATTGAACAGGATCCAATTGTGGGGTCCAGGCCAAATCTACCCCATTTTTCTAACCACGTTGCTATTAATGCACCGAATGAGAAAGCCCAGGTACTTGCCACCATAACAGCTAAATATTGACGTCGGTACAACCTGTTGACAAAATAACATCATTATTGAGACGTCCCGGAAGACTACAAATTTTCCTGGTAAGGGCAGATAGTTACAATCAACAATATTCACGTCAATTATGAACACGTAATATACAATGGTAACGTCAGGTTTATTATTAGGATGTTACTTACTTGGGATACAGACGTGGATGGGAGATCATCACATATCTGTTGATTGTGATAGCCAAGACTGTGAAGAGGGAGACAGCAACAAGTGCATATCTCGCAAGTGGAAACATTCGGCAGAGGATTCTGCCGTGAGCCCAAGAGCGACGCCAGAAGGTGGATGCAGCGAGTGGCAGATTGAAGCAGCAGAATAGGAGGTCGGAGCATGACAGGTTCATTATGAATACTGCGGTGGCGTTGCGGACCTGCAAGCGATAAACTGTGTCAGTATTTTTGTTTAAATTTGTTTTATATTAACATGTTTATCTGAACAAAATAATCTTCAAACATTTAGCTCGTGTTTTGTCCAAAAAAGTTAGTATTTGAATGGAGAAGTTTAGTTTATTTCCATAAATGTCTTCTAGGTAGAAACGAATTAAGTCCATTATTTCTGTACAGTGAGTCGATCACTGACCTAAGTTAAGAGAGTAATATTTCACTGCATTTATTGTCAATGCTATCGTAAAGGGGTATTAATCACGTATGACTTCTTACTACATTTAGTAGTGTAGTAGTTTTTTTCTATATTTAGACTTCAGTAGTAAAGACGTACCTATAGTAAAAATACGTTTTTATTTTATCAATTCAAAAGTAGAACGTACATATAAGACACGTGTATTTGACGGAAAAAAATGATAAAATAAATTATGAGACGTCCGCGTGCGTGTTCAAGCAGATAATTTGTGACAAGATTAATATTTGTTCGTACGTTGTTCTCTCGGAATAAAATTTTGTAATTCGAATTTCAATTTTTTTAACTGTATTGGTACTGCAATTATGTTTTTGTTACATTTTACGAAATATTTGTGTAGATGTGTCATTTTATAAAATTATTAGCAAAAAACAAAATTTCGATGCATTTCGAGCCTTAAATTTGTGTAAATCTAAACTAATCTCTTACTGTCTGTCTGTTCTTCACGCCTTAACTACTGAACCGATTTCTGTGAAATTTGGTACATAGTTTGGAACTCGAGAAAGGACAAAAGATAGTTTTTATCTATACAAAAATCGGCAAGAAGTCAATATTCCACGCGAACGGAGTCGCGGGCAAAAACTAGTATAAACTTTAAATTATTGTACTTGTTATGAAGTTATTGCCTTACAATAAGATCTTATAGTTTATCTTTTACAAATGTCTATAATGGCGGTCTGGTAAGAAGGGGCCAATGTCCATCAATAGATATTTACGGTCTGATATTATGATTCATGATTCGTTACTAATAAAAGCATTTGTTTATTTACCACAACAGACTAATTAGTCAATGGATGTGTACGTGTTTATGAATATCAGTTATTTATCCATAACAACATTCTAAAGAGATGTATTTGATTGTTTGTCTGTTTGCTATGAATATTCTACAAATCTTCAAGCTGTTTTGCAATTGTTTCACACTTAGGCTGTTACTATTTATAATAACACGCGTTTTTTTGTTATTCTAGAGACTAACTTCTTCCATCTACTTCGCTCACGTTACCGGAAAGAAAAGAGGCTCACATCTTATTCCAGACTATAGATCTCAGTGCCAATTTTCATTAAAACCCATTCACTAGTTTCTACGTGAAAGGGAAACAAATATTCATCCATTTATGTGTACTTATAAACTTTCACGGTCATAGTATTAGTAGGATAATAGGAATTTCATTACACTATAGCACATCAAAATTCAAAGCATGTATGCATGGCGAATGATGTACAAATTGAAGTATTGTATTAATAACTGATTTGGAATCTTCATATATTTGTTTGTATTAGGTGATACGCCGGCAAACGAGTTGACCGAGGGCTTACCTGATGGTAAGCAATCGGCGCCGCCCGTTGACACCCGTAACACCAGAGGACTTAGGGGTGTGTTGCCGATTTTTTTTTGGATTAGGATGATTTTAAGGGATTGGGGAGGGTAACCTCACTCTCGCAGCGAAACACAACGCTTTGGTTCTTTCTCGCCGGTTTTCTATGTAGCCAGTTATCACTCCAGTCAAGCCGACCCATTCGTACCGAAGTTTGGTTACGCAATATATTATGCAATGTCTAAAACATTTCGAAAATGGATTTAGGTATCTCAATATACAAATACTTATAGGTGAGTATATATATAGATATATATGTAGTTATGTGATTGGGCACGTCTACATTAAGACGTACTAAGACGGAGAAAAAACTAGATGAAGTAAAATCTACGAGTTTGAAAAATGCAAATATTAAATATTTGCATTTTTCAAACCGTTATTGAGTTTGTAAAAGGATTTGCACTATCTTATAACAACAAGATATTAGTTAATGTTCGTGTCAGTAGAACTGACTGACCATCATAAAATGTTAACTGAGTCCACACAGTTATCTTAAATGATCTTATCGAAGTACTAAATTAGGATAGTTAAAATATAAGAATATTTTGTTTCGTTTCGTAAAAGTTAGGTAAATAAACTCGTAATATTTAATCAAATAAATATGTGATATAATAATTACCTATACATATATTGGTCTGGTCTACTGGTTTCATTGACCGATTTTGAACTAAAGGAAGCATTTGAATCGTTTTGTGATCGAAATTTATTATATTTTTTGTTGGTTAGTACCCACGTTTTTAGGACCTACACAAATAAATTACCTACACAAACATCATTTAAATATATAAAATATGGAATATATATATAAAATATATTCCTAAATTTATTATGGCAGTTCATTCTCTTCTTTTCGATAATAATTACCAGAATATTACAACAATTATTGTTATTAACAATTTTAGTGTGGACTAAGAAAAGCGGTTTAAATTTAGAGGATTTCTTTACGGATGAAATTTACATCTGTTTTTTTTTATCGAATACCTACAGTTTTATGTTTATTACTTTAGACTTTGATATTAAAGTTATCAGAATCATTTTGAACTTTCACCTGTAATAATCTTTAGAATTCCTGTTTCAATTTCCTTATGTATTATAAGTAGGGTGAACGAGTATGTAATACGAGTAGCAGGACTGCAGAATAAGTTTTTATATGAAATTAATTTAGAAATTTAATAGTTTTTAGACTATTAAAATACTACTGAAATATTACCAACTTATCTCAGATTTCATAAATGTGCTGTGAGCACTTAAAAAAAGTACTTTGAACATTATTCTAAAATTGCTATGCCTGCTCTCATTTGAGAACAGGTTTAAAAATAATACATTGAAACTGACCTTCTTGCACCTTGCAAGCGCAACAATGGTGATGAGGTTGCCAGGAATGCCGACTAACATGAAGAGCACACAGCACACGGAAGCGAAGCGAAGAAGTGGCTCCGGGTAATCACGGAACAGCTCCACAGCAGCCAGCTCCGCGTCAGACGCGTACTCCGTCACGCCCTGACCTTCGAGGCTGTAGTTTCCTCCATCTACCTCACTCGCGAACGTACTCCTCGGTATACTCGGTAACAGATCACCCATCTTAAAGATTTAACGCACATCATTCGTCCACAAGTGTTTCACGTTAATTGAGTTCATATCACTTATTTCATGTTCATGTTTACGCTGGCGGGTTTTGTTGGCGACTGATAACGAACCTTCCCGGTCAATAAGTTGGTAATAGTGCGGTGATAAGGCATTTTGTCGATGTGCGAGGTTATAGGGTCACAGCTGGTCAGGAAGCGCTGGTATCTCGCCGCTACTGTCCTTCATATCTGTACAGATAAATTGGTATTCGTTTATTATAAATTCTATGTAAGTATTAATGTTATGTTTTGTTATGAGAGTCGTGAAATGAGATAATGGTGAGTCTGTTATATGAGTCGGCGATTGTGTCGGTGAGACTATGGGAGTCTTTGTAGGTATTGTCAGTTTGAATGTTTTATTGCGCCGTCGCTACTTATCGCTCTAAAGATAACAGAATGATTTGTTTAGCAGAGTTTTTATTTAAATATTAATTTAATGAACGAATTCTTTGTGTTGCCGAAAATAAACAGTTTTAGTGTATTTTACTTTTCGTTGATAATTCAAAGACAAGGAGATATGGTTTTAAGAAATTGACGATATATTTAGATTTAGATATACGTTTCTAGAGCGAATCGATACAAATTATGTTTCCTATGTTTTCTTTGTCAAATAATTAATTTATAAAAAATAGTAAGCTGATTTAATATAATATATTATATGATAGCTGATTTATTATTGAGTAATACATGCGTTCATAAGCTTACATCTTAAAGAATTTTCGATGAATGTTCTAAATCTCCAAATCTTCAATCCACTATGGTTCCAATCCCTAAAAGGCTAGCAATGCACTTTTAACTCCAGTGTTGCTAATGTCTCACTCATCTCTGCTTACCACGAGGTGTAGAGGTGTGAATGTACAAGATGTCTATAACGCAGATGTGAGATAAATTCAAGTTAGTTCCCAAACATCTGCGAACTTAGGACTTAATCTAGATTGTGGCGCATCGACACTGAGTAATTGATTGTGTCTAGCACGAACATCCGATTCTTGTGGTGAAGCGCATTTCTGAATGAAAAAACTGCAAGATGGAAAATAATCTACTTTTATTTACCCACTTAAATGTGATATATTTCCTTCACCGGGAAAGGGTGATTAATTTCAGACTATATTAGTACCTACATACATATATTCAAACTGGTTGTATAGCAATAATCCGATATTATCGTATACAAAGTATTCGGCTCATATTTATCATAGCGAGATATTTCACATGGACGTACCTAAAGCCACCCTCAATTAATGTATTATTTATCACATAAGGAATAATTCAAATCTAACCTACCGTGTTTAAACAAACAAATTCTTTAGTTTTATACACATACATAAGCACACCCAACTATTTTCTTTCAAATTCTATTCGTAACAAAGTGAACCTTATATCATAAAAATAGAACAGAATTTTGTTTGAAAGCCCATTTCGCAGTGCATTACGCTTTATCAGTAACATCGTTGGAATAACAAGTGAACTGAGAGTGCTATGGAACGTAAAATGAGAAGCAGAAGAGACTCAACATTCCTCGTTCACTTTATTGTTGTTTGTGGATAAAAATGTACAGTACGATGGGTTGTATTAAGTATATCTATAATATCTACATTATCATTCTCTGCCAAGAACTATATTAGATTGTTGTGAAAATAAGTACTAAAAGTATTCCTTTGCGTAGGTATTGAAAATGTTGCAATGTTCTGTAATCACAGGTGAAACGGAACCCTTTCATTATTTGGCAGTAATGAGTATAGTTCATTTCTAAGTTCAGTTTCTAAGATTGTTAAGACGAGGAAGGAAATCTGGACCTTAAAATTATAATTTTAAATTTCAAATCGCAACTCCGCCATGACCAACGCATAAACCTTCTCCGTATAGGAAGAGGCCTTTACTCAGCAGTTACAGGTTAACGTGAATAAAAAATCTAAAGTTCTAGTTGCAAGAACTAGAAAGAATTTGCAAAACAATTTTACTTAAAGGCATTGCGGAATTAAAAAAGGTAAGGTGGGTTGACATTGAGTAACTCGATTTATTACACATCGTAGTTCTTACTACTGTCACAAATAAATGAGACCTTGCAAATGTAATCAGGAGGTACCTTCCTGACGTATAAATAAATCCAACCGACTTCAAAGTCAATTGAATTACCTTTCTCTGAAATTCGAATAAAATTGTAAATGGCGGATTGTATTATACTATTGATAAACTTGTGTGGGATTACCATGTAATAATATACCTAAATTCAAGTTTAGAAGAGCCAAGCTTCGGCACGAATCGGATTGCTCTATCGGTATGATACCACGGAACTACTCACAGAAAACCGTCGTGAAACAACCACAGCGTTGTGTTTCGCCGTATGAGTGAGGTTATTGGAGGCAAAATCTGTCTCCTCTAGAAATCCCTCTCCAGTCTCTAAATCATCAAAAGGTCAGAAACGTTCTCGTAACTATCCACTCCGTTGTTGTGGGTGTGCGGCGCTAATTGCTTGCCATCAGGTAATCCGCCTGCTCGTTTGCCTTTCAGACACACAAAAAATATATAGGCCCGTACTGGCGTCATTTAAGTGGTAAGATGAATTATTTATTTCTCGGTTAAGGCATTTTATACATGAGGTTTCGAAACCTGACAAAGTACCAGTATTGATTTGTCTGAGTTATATGTAATATTTGTACTTTTAAAGTACAAACTAGTGCATTTAAAATTTTTCAAGAAATAAAAAATCATATGATAATTGTCCTAAATCTGTAGTTGCGACATGATACCATTGAAGCAAAATATTAGTAGTCCAGTAACATAGTAAGGTCTACCCAGCAAGAAAAGGTTTATTTCTTAGTAGCTTACAAAATCACATATATATAATACATCCTATTTCATTTAAAACACAGTTTATTTAGGAAGTATTTTGTACATCATTTATTTCTCGTGAAACGATCTGTCAGCAAAACGATTGATTGGAACAATATATTCCCAAAATGTTCCCAAAAGGGTTCAATTAAAAACATAGCAAAATGAACAACAAGGGAAATTAAAAAACACGGACCTTCATTTGAATTGTTCAATTGAATTTACTTCAATATAACTTCACCGTATAAAAACATTCCACGTATTTGAAAATTCAATTAAAAATTAGGTTGATTAGTAGTAAATAAGAGGATTTTAATGTCGCCCGGAGGTTAAGGCAGAGTTCTAAACCTGGCAAGTACCAATGTGACTTTTTCCTAGTGATAATTATGTACTTTCTATGATTATTTAGACACCACTGACATAGGTGAGGAATAACATTGTGAGGAAATCTGGAAGGCGGATGATTGCCATTCCGCCTTAAGCAAGCGTGGTCAATAAAGCTGAAACTCACTCTTAGGTTGATCATGATGACATTTTGAAGACGACTACGTTACTTAAAAAATACTATGAAACAAACTTTGTTAGTGATAATTTAACTGAGAGTTGAAAGTAACATACATAATTCATGTTCAATAATAACACTCGATTGAAAAAAGCTACTCCAAAGAAGACCAATCAGCAGACAAAATACTAACGCAATAAAATCCAATCTAATATCACCCTTAAAACCGTATCTCATTGAGTGGTTTATTGACATGTCACATCCCGGCCTACGCAAATCCTTTCAGATATTCGCCCACGACAAGCTTTTAACTTGTCAGGCCCGACCCAACGAGCCCAGTGTAGTTTTAAACTAACTGAGATGTGATCAGATTAGAACTATAGTAATTGAATTTGACTAATTTAGCATAAAATCTATAGATTTTGTGCAGACAAGACGTCTTTGTTTTATTTAAGTTTGGGTTGACAACCAATTAAAGAAGGATAGGGTAATGTTAATTGTCTACTGGGAGTGGTTGGGAGTCGTCCATAATGAGTTAATTTGATAGATTAAGATATTTGCGTGGTCTCGTAGACTTTTGTAAATGTTTTCTTAGCTAACCAAATAGTTTTTATAAGCAGGATATGCAATGAAAATAATGACTTACCTACGTGAATAAACTGAGAAGAGATCTATTACTTTTCAGTTGGCTGTAAATAATGACGATCGTAAGGGCCCCATAGTGGCCTGAACTGGTCGAGAGCTTTTCTAATTTCATTAACGTGGCTAAGTCATTATTTTCGATATCTTTCGTTAGTCTCACTATAGTTACTATTCAGAAATTGTACAGATGTAGTTCTAAAATCGCATATCACCCAACCTAACCTAGCCCAATATGAACCTTAAAATCTCATTATGGCTCTGATTACATTAGAGTTATGCTTAGAAACAGGAGAATAATTAAGAGCTCAACAGAAAAAACTTATTAAAGTTTTTGTTTACATTTTGGCAAAGAAAGTTAAACACTGACACTGAGTATTTTAATTAATGACAGGATTTCTTTTTGTTACCTTTGTCACAAGTTTCTGCGAGATCCGTTAAATTCCTGCAAAAATATATTTAAGATGGCTCCGCGGAATAAGTCCTCCATTTTTGGAGACAAAATGGCTCCTATTTCATCTTGTTATTCAAAGAAATCATAATATAATGTTTTGGGAATATTCTTGTTTACTGTTGTTCCTAAATGCAAACAAATTAATTTATTGTTTTTGGTTTGAAAGGGGATGCTTTTGGGCAATTATTTTTGGTTACTAAGTTAAGTTTCTATGAATGTTAATATTTTTGATGTTTTAGGGAACAGAGAGTAAAGTTCCCCAAGATCGAAAAAGGAGGTACCTACCTCCGAGGGGATCATCCTTGGCCGGCTACTGCCCAACAGTTGTAGATTGGGATTTTCTAGTATTTATTTCATTTTATTTTAACACTTTATGTACATACAAAAATATATACAAAGGCGGACTTAATGCCCTTAATTTAATCGCACACAAACTTCACTTGCGTGATGTTAAGATTTGTGACGTCATTGAATGTTGTCATCGATTTTCAATGTGTGTCGCCACAGGACGAAACTAAACTAAATATACTGTCTTTTTTAACCTTAAATGAGTTTACATTGCCATAATATAAAAAAACAAACAAACAAAAAGTATTTACTCGGGTTTGGGACGCATAAAAGGCACAAAACGAACAAGATAATATAAATAAAGGTAAAAAAATTAAAATACATAAAGCATGGTAAAACAATATAACATAAGTAAAGTGTAGGAGAAAAATATGTGTCTAAGCACGCGAAATGGTCCTCGCTCAGCATTATGCAGTGACCGCGTACGAGAGAGTGTCGCGGCGCTGATTTTCAGCGATGGCCGACACTAACGCATGACGCCAATCAGTGCAGAAACTTAAGCTAAGAAGAATTATGATGAACGATTATGCATAT